TTCCTTCCTTCCTTCCTTCTTTCTTTCCTTCTTTCCCCTTCCTTCCGAAGTCCCTTTCAATTCTTTTATTCCTTCCTTCCTTCTTCTTTCCTTCCTTCCTTCCTTCTTTCTTTCCTTCTTTCCCCTTCCTTCCGAAGTCCCTTTCAATTCTTTTATTCCTTCCTTCCTTCTTCTTTCCTTCCTTCCTTCCTTCTTTCTTTCCTTCTTTCCCCTTCCTTCCGAAGTCCCTTTCAATTCTTTTATTCCTTCTTTCCTTCCTTCCTTCCTTCGATCCATCTATTTATCTACTCATCTTCCTTCCTTCCTTCCTTCCTTCCTTCCTTCCTTCCTTCCTTCCTTCCTTCCTTCCTTCCTTCCTTTTTAATTTTAGCACGGGCTGGCTGGGGAATGCTGGGAGTCGAAGCCCACACATAAGAGAATAACAACAGTTGAAAGGGAACCGGGAGGTCTTCTAGTCCAGCCCCCACCTCGCTCAAGCACCTTAAGAGTTGGCCACGTTGAGAGACACCGTGCTGAGGTTTCCTAGTTGGGTTTATTGGTCGGTTTCAGCTGGGGCTACCCCCAAGTGGCGTTCCGGTTCCTCATCTTACGACGTCCTTCTCATCTCCTCTTTTGTAGGCCTGGGACATGGGCATCGGTTTCAAGATACCCCAGTTGTACCAGTCGGGTGCCCTGGTTCTCATCCTGACGGTTTTCTCTTCCCTTGGGATCGCAGCCATGTGAAGAGACACACCTCCCCTGCTCACTCCCCAACTTCCTTCCTTAAATTTTGCACACACCCACACCCACACACACACACACCACAAAAGTTGGTTCAATCCAGGACTTCGGTTTGTTAATTAGAAAAATAATGGGATTGGGCTGAAATCGGCCAAATTCATATTTATGACACAGTTGTAATCCGACGGAGGCCATTCTCCTTGGATCCTGCTAGGACAGGGGTCTTCCAACTTGACAGCTTTAAGGCTTGTGGACTTCAACTCCCAGAATCCCTCCTCCTCCTCCAGTCATGTTAGCTCAGGAATTCTGGGAATTGAAGTCCACAAGTCTTAAACATGCCAAATTTGAAGACCCTCGATCTATTCTATCTATCTATTCTATCAATCCTTTCTCTCTCTTTCTCTCTCTCTCCCTCTATCTATTCTATCTCTCTTTCTATCTAGTCTACCTCTCTTTATCTATCTATTCCAGGGGTCTTCAAACTTGACAGCTTTAAGGCTTGTGGACTTCAACTCCCAGAATTCCTCCTCCAGTCATGTTAGCTCAGGAATTCTGGGAGTTGAAGTCCACTATTCTTAAACTTGCCAAGTTTGAAGAGCCTTGATCTATTCTTTCTTTCTTTCTTTCTTTCTTTCTTTCTTTCTTTCTTTCTTTC